ATTAGAAATGCCAAGGAAATACTATGCGAAATGGGGCGACTAAATATTCCGAAAGACCCCACGAGAGAAGTTTGGAAAGACATCTCAGGTTCCATTGAGGCAAAGGGTATTAAAGCGTTCGCACTTACCTCATCGCGATAGAAGTCAATGACCCCAGGATGAGTGCAGGTCTGACGAATCTTGGCTAAAGTGGTCTTCATTTGTTTAATGTTTTCCCGAAGCTCTGCAACTTCCAGCTCCAGAAGATTGAGACTTTGAGCAGCTTCAGCCGAGACGGAAGAAAGAGAGAACGAACCCGAATCAACCGGCTCCTTGATCTCCTTAAGTGGGAGCAACGACGATATTGGCTGAGCCTTGTAACCTTCTGACTCAAGGTGGTGACGTACCTTATCCTCATTAAAGCTAGGCGAATGAAAGGGATATTAATAGGTAATTCAGCAGCATCCAATCGACTGACAGCAAGAGAAAGTATATGGGCTTGTGTTGGGAAAAAACTCACTCAAACTGAGCGAACAGTTCTGCCAGGTAAGATTTGGTGAAACTGGGAAACTGATCAGCCAAACGATTAAGCCTCAGTCGGGCGGCCAGCGTTCGTTTGTTCTAAGGGGTTTAGGACAAGCCGACAATAAGCAACTTAAACACAAGAAACTCGAATACTAACTGGCTCTCCTTAGTTATTTTCCCCTATCGTTTAACGACATGGAACACACAACTAACACCTTGAGAAAGCCATTAGGTTCGTTAGCCTTTTCACTTTTTTCTTCTTTTTAAAGAGATAGCTGTGGTATGTCTCAGCATTTTTGAACCCAACGTCCTACTCAATGGCACGAGGATGACGTTTTCAATGTGTACATTCATAGATTTTCTTTGGCAGAAACTAAAATAGTCAAGCATTATTCAAACTTTCGATTGGGATTATCAAGTCCATTGTATCTTATCTTTCATGAGAAGTCTTGAATCAATTGTTCAAAAGTAGTTACAAGGACCACTGGCGCGATAAAGAATGTTTTGGCTTCTGTCGGTTCTGCAAAACATTATGGCCGAAAACAATGCATAAGTTTAAATTGCGAGCAACTGAGGTGGAAACTTCAATAGCAAGAATAAGTATAGTAGTATAAGTACGGTTTTAGACTACTTTTCAGGCCCCGGGTGAGTCATGTGGGCTTGGAGGACGCCACTCCACCAACGTTAGTACAGACCAACTGGTGCCATCAGTCGCACAAAAACACTTCGCATAAAGTTTGACACATATTGAAGCTATACAAATCGGCGCTAGGTTACAGAACTCGCCAAACTTACCCCTGCGCTTCGTTGAAATACTCACATGACCATGATATCAAGCTAGCAAGCTCTTAGAACTCAATGTAAAATTCCGATTTGAAACAACATTACTTAATCATGAAAACAATGCCATTTATTGTATAAATGCACTCCATTTTTAGTGAACTTCGACTGTTCATTTCCAAAATTCCAATATAAAGAGTGATTCAGCTGAACTTCATCGGAATCAAAAGTGAACAGATGAGAGAACAAAATAAGCGACCCTTTGACCACAGGATTGTGGGTGCAAATCAACGCATATAATGCCATCGCGATTCCTTTTAACAAAGTGATTTTGCTCCCAGGCTAGAAAAAAAACATGCAAAAAATCTTTCAGGAGCTAAGTATAAAGATAAGAAAACCAGAAGATCAGTAATTTTATTGCGCAACAGAATAGACCTCAGATTTGCTAGCCAGTGAGCGCCAGCGAGACTCGTCCTCTTCTATGATGGCGCTCAGACGGGGAGAGCTAGTTGAGTGGGTTCGATAGTCTCCAGACGCAGATGTGACTTGCAGAGGAACGGCTGGAGGAGTCGAGGTGGAAAACGTCTCTAGTTGGAATCCAGAGGTATCCGCAACAGCCATGAAGGTCGCAGAATCTAGCACTCCTGATACTAGACATGCTGTCGCCGCGTCCACGTCAAAACTGCACAGATAGTATAGAGTGAATGGCTAAAGACCTCCCCACTCTCTCATTCTTTTGCTTACCCACCCATTGCTGTCGAAACTGCCAGTCTATCTGCCAATACTTAGCTGCAAATAGTGATGCAATACACTGATTTAAGTTGTATTTACTATAAAGGTGATACCAAAATACCACGAATAAAAAACGTCAGACGTAGGCTCTACCCAGGCAGGTGTACTTTCCCAATTCCACTTCTTGCTTTTGTCCCTAAAATTATTGCCACGCTCAAAACCTGTGTTATTTCCTTGAAATTAGCAACAAATAGTTTGTGCCACAAAGCTTGGAGAAACAAAATCAAGGTAGAAAAAAGGTATATGTAGAACAGAAATCCATAAAAAATTACATAGAATGCGTGAATATCTCACGATTATTCATCCATAAATAGATACGTGAAAGTTAAATATTTTGTGATCGAATCTGCCATTATGACTCAAATCCACTAGTCATCTACTTCAGTTCATTTTCCTTACGAAATTTATCAGAATTGCCGGAAGGACACAAATGGGACGTGATTAATTCCCTCTGCCTTTTCGTTGATCACCTCAAACTTACCCACAGCGAACCAGAGTTTCCATGACGATCGCAGGATCAGTACCTGGATATTCTCTCACCAGTTTGTCTAAGGCTTTTCGAGCATGAGGCTTTTCAAAGTGCTAGAAACAAAAGCAGAAAATCTACTGAGGATCACTATGAGACCGAAGTAACTATGGTAAATAGAAGTTAGTTATGAAACAACTTAAATTGCAGTAAGAGGTATGTGTACAAGGCATCTCCATTTATTCATGCGCCAATCCTCTTAAAAAATAAAAAAAATCTCAGAAAAATTGTAAAACAATAACAGTAAAATGAGAGAAATTGAGTCTGGATTACTCAATAGTAACTTTTCAGCAAAACATTATTTTTACATCTCAACTTGGCACAGTTTACTCCAGACTGTAGATACAAGGGCCTTAAAATACAGGTTATTTTGATGAGAGAACGTTTGTGTAGCTGTTGGAGAAAATCGTGGAACATCGAAGCATAAGTTTTGCTTTATGCATATACAAATGTGGAAACGATAAAGCTACCAAATATAATATTGTTACAACCTTCTACGCAAGATCTGTTCTTTGTACCATTCTGCACTCATCATTTACTAAAGGTGACGACTAGACAACTACCTTTTTCTGTTCCAAAACAGAGAGTCGAATGGCTGATTCTTCCGCCATTATGTTTTCCAAATCGGGGACGTTTGAGTTTGCTGAATTATTTGCACCAATCTCTACGTTTGAAGACTTGAACTTGAAATCTGTACAGATTAAAAAACCGAAGACAAATATGGCAGGAACTTGGCCAATACATGGAATGATCATGTTTAACACTTACTGGGCTTCCAAGACCGTGAACTCCAATTCTTCTTTCTATCACTCTTCAGACAGCCAAGCTGACCCAAGAAACTCAACAAAATTTGCTTGGATATGTTTTCATCAGGCACCCATTCGTCAAACACCTCCGGAGGCATTTCATTGAAGTCTGTAATTAAAAGAATAGCATTGCATATAGTGCTACTAACAAATGTCTAGTAAGCTGTTTTTTCTGACCAAGCAGGAGCTTCGGAAGACCCAGCTCAGAAGCGTATTCTTCATAGACAGACTTTAAAAAATGAGGTGAAAGACGGATGAATGGTGCAATTTCGGGCTGACAAGAATCGTCCAAAGACCCAGCATGCGATTCTTGAGGGAATTCTTCATTACTCAAAAACGCACTCATATTTTCTGGATTACTTCGAGGTGCTTCATGCTTTTCCTTTTCCTGCTTATCTTCCTCTTCTGCCTCTAGATTAAGCAGCTTGATTGGTGGTTCAATGACCTCATTGAGGCTGCTAGTCATTGAGTTTTGTTCTTTACATTCAGCAGCAATTGCGGCTGCATAGACAAAATCACCTTCTGTCAATGAGATCAAGGTTTTTAGATAGGAAAGTTGCAGGTGCGGAAACATCTCATGAAGTCGTGCCACGGAATCAGTATCTTTTGAACTGGTAGCAAAAGAAGGAGCAGAACCAGAGGATCCGGCCGCATCATCCAAACCAAGTGACTCTGGAGAATGCAAGCCAATGCCAGTGAGGAATCATAATTTATATCATAGCAATTTGACTAAATTAAACCGTAGTGAAAAGGAACTTACTCAGAAGATTAGCGGTTATATCAGCTGGGTTTACAAGTTCACTGGACACTGGCCTGGGAAATGAACAAAATTTAGGCTGGAAGTAAGTGAAGAACGAAGGTACCTATTTCAAGCTCATTTTTGGCTGCGCAAATATTTAGTTGCCGCCCCTACATAGAGTAGATGATTCGGATCATACAAACCATTCTTCTAGTCCTCAACTTAACTTCTACCACAGCAGCGAAACGTGCTCTGCACAACCGTTTTCAAGGACTAAATCAGGAACTGCTCTTAAGTACTGCAATCTTGAAGATGACTGGCGAATGAGGAAATGATAATCGGTCAACACATTATATATTTATATATCATCTCTCTGCCTTAAGGAGCAATGGTGAGATGCTTGAGGTTCTAAGAAGGGTTCTTATAATTTCATTCATTAAGAAACAGAAGGATTACTCACTGGATGGGAGTCTGCAGATTAAGTGATACAGTGTTGTGCAAATAGAGGTCACATGGCGTCGAGATCTTTGGCTTCATTGAAGGATTCTTTCGCCGCCTCATTTCAGCGACGACATCTTCGGCGGTCAAAAACTGCTCAAAACACCCCAACAGGTACTGCAGTTGATCCGCTGTCAAACCTCGTCGATTCCTTCTAAAGTAATAAAACAGACCTAAGACGTGCCACACAGAGCCCAATGAAATAGCCAATTACTGTGCATCAATTGAGTGCATCGCCATGACACTTGGCAACCTATGATAGAAAGTAAGTCCTTGTAAAGAAATTTAAACAGCCTCTAAAAGCGTAGTCACAAGTTTTACAGGATGATGGCGTAATGATAGTGCAAAATGCAATGGACCCCACTGCTTCGAAGTTCAATATAGCGCCTAATCAATGTTTCGAAGCTAAAAATTGCATTTACTCCTGAAAAAAATAAGACGAAGATGAGTCTTGCTACTGGTAGGTTTCAAATGAATTGTTCTCCATCTCACCTGTCCAGAGTTTCGATAATATGGACACGTTAACAAAAATTCAACGCACCGAGTGCGTCGATAGATGACTTTCGGCAGAATTGGAAGTCACCCTCAAACTTATTAGTTATCAAGTGCATGAACGTTGAAGAAGATACCTTTGATGATAGAGGAATAGTTGCAACACTAATCACGTAACAACTCAATAATTAGTTCGTTCTCCAAAAGTCCGACTGAAGGCCGATATTGGCATCATGTAGAGTGGAGAAAAAGGAAAACATTATCAGCTTACGAAAGTGTTTAAAATACAATTCACGCACCAATTGATCGAGAGGTTGTATTGCATATGCCAACATTATTTTCGGGAAGAGAGATTTGGGATATTTTTCGCCTTGAAAGTGACGAATTTGCCAACAACCCAGATAAGCAAGGATGGCTACACAGTTTGAAAGTACGCGCCTCTTCTCTCTTATTAGCAGGTGCTAGTAACTGATGTTTACAATGCCATAGCACTATCTTATCACCTGACCCAGTGGAGATGGTATTTACGATTAGTTGCAGTGGATCTAGGTGGTCATTTGGACGACCCGTGAACAGCAATACTCTACCGCTTTTCAAGGCTGTACAAATGAACGGAATTTTCCAACCTCAGTAGAGGGAAGATCGACTAACAACAACGTACCAAAGTTTCACCTCAGCGGTTAAACAAATGATGCGCCCATAAACAACCACAAAGAATCCTCGAAGAGTTTATCAATTCTTTCGTAATTGAATTACCACATTTTAACAACCAAGGTGTTTCATACTGATTTTAAAACTCTCATCGCCAAATAATGCACTGCACGCCTCCTTCCCCTGTTTCAGCTTTCCATAAACAAGACCTAAGACCATACAGTGATGCAAATAATTATGCTGTAACACCATCAAAAAGCCGACTTGCAGTGGATACTGGTCTTTTGACAAAAGTTCCTATAATGTTTAACAGCTACCATAATAACTTAACCTCAAGATGGCTCCCATAAATTACCCTGACAGTAAAATTTCGATTCACTGAAGAGAAATGCAGTCCCTCTGACATACGATACTTTGGAACCACAAGGACTGCACGGATCTCAACGAGCTGAGATCGTCTACTTTTGCAGACCATAGAGTCCTTTGTACCTTCAGGTTAGTGGTACACACACGATAATAGCGAAATGTGATGCGAATGCCACTTCAATCGAGTCTGAAGCAAATTGGCATCAGTAAACATGGGAGATGGATAAGCCCTGAGCATCTTCGATCACGCCGTGCTGAGGCACGAGGGTGAGTGCGTGCCTCACACACATGATTGTACCCACGCCCGCACACACGCACGCATGCTCGAAACAGGCGCAGAGGCTGCATAAGGTGGCGTTGCGGTGATCTGCCACACGTCACAGCGAGGCCCTGCAGGTCATACTTTGTGCGAATGTACGCGCTTGCATCTTACCAAACCCGCTAGTTGGCTCAACTCGACAGCGCCGGAAAAAAAGCATCATTAAAGGATTAGAACATAGATGGAAGGAAGGCGAGGTGGGGGAGGAGAAGCGAATAAGAGAATGAATAAACACGAATGAATAGCCCATGTGCTATCCACTGAACTAGCAGTTTGTCAGTTAGATGATGACCGGTCAGAGGAAGATTGCTTTCGTAAGAGTGCGTGGCCTCAAATTGACTCCACCTCCGATGACTATAGGTGGACAAAATTACTGTGCGGAACGTACCTAGCAAGTGCCCGTACAGAGTAGCGCCATGATGTATCCGGTTCAACAAAGTGCACCTCGTA